TTTTTTTTTTTTTTTTTTTCTTTTTTTGTCAAAGGGCTTTTGTGTTTCTGGAGAGGAGGAGACACATCACACCCCCAGTGGGGCGTGGTCACACCACAGTCCTTTTTCCTCCATGTCTGGTCTCATCAGGATTTTGCAGCAGGCATAAACCAGCAGCCAGGATGATTTTCAAACCCTGGGAGCGAGATTCCAAACCAGTCAGCCATGTGGAATCCTCTCCCTAAACCACTGAACTACAGGGCTGGCTGTAACGGCATCTTTTGACAACTGTAAGGTATGGTGGGTTAAAAATGGAAAGTTAATCATTGAAATATTTTATTTTTGTTTACTTTTTTTCCCCCCTATAAGGCATGCATTTGCTAGAAAAAGGAGAAAGTGAGAAATCATCCCACAGGGGAGATTCAATCCCTTCTCTTCGGTTTCCTCTCAGGATTTGGGCACACATAAATATGTACCCAGCGTGATTTTTCAAGCCGCCGGGCCACAACTCAGCCCATGCTGTCAGCCGTGTGGGATCCAGTGCCTTAACCTCCATGCTACCTGCTGACTCCCCACTCACTCCTGAATACAAAGGTTAATAGTCCTACTTGACAAGGTGCCTGATTTGGGGGGTCAGTACAATTCTGAAGACAGTACTTAAAATGGTTTGTAAGACAAGTATAAGTTGGGGCCGGCAGGTGGTGTGGTGGGTAACATGCTGGACTCCCACATGGCTGACTGCAGTTCAAGTCCTGAACCTGGTTTCTTTCTTTCTCACTTTCCCTTTCTTTGTCTGCCTCTCTAGTCAAGTTGAACAAGTAAAAATAATAATCATAAATTTAAAAAAAGGTGTCAGTTGAACTGACTCTAAATGTCCTATGGGAAATCTTTAAAGGAATTCTATTGAAAAGCCTTTCTAAAGGAAATACTTATTTATATGCTATAGAGTGACGGTGCTTTCCATATTAGGGGGGAATGAGAAGTCACTCCCCAGCGGGGATGGCATTGGTGCAATCCTTTCTCCAGTCCTTACCCAGGATTTTGGACACAGGTGTCCAGTGTGGTTTTTAGGCCACTGGGTCTGGAACTCAAACCATGCAGCCAGCCATGTGGGATCCAGCCACCTCAACCACCATGCCACTGGCTGACCCAAGGAAATATATATTAATACTTAAAATAATCACTTTAGGGACCAGCAGGTGGTGTGGTGGTTAAGGCACTGGACACTCCCACATGGCTGACCATGGTTCAAGTCCTGAATCTGGTGGCTTGCTTTCTCACTTCCTCTCTCTCACTCTCACCCTCTGTCTCTCTCTGGACAAACTAAAAAATAAATGAATGAATAAAATAAAATAAATAATTATAAAAAAATAATCGCTTTAGGGACAAAGCAGATGGTGTAGTGATTATATCACTGGACTCCCACGTACTCAACCACGGCCTAAAAGTCACGCCAGATCCATGTGCGTGCATGCCCAAGATCCTGAAAGGAGAATGGAGGAGAAGGGATTATAGTGTAGCCATCCCCCCAGGGGGTGATTTCTCACTTTCTCTCTCTCTGATGAGCGCACACACACTATAGCAAAAATCTCTCTTCAAGAAAAAAAAACACTGTAATCTCCGATCACTTTATAATCTCTGTTTTACCGATTTAAAGCTTTATTTTAATTGCAGGAGGTTGCCACCTGTGAGTGCATAGAAGTCATTTAGCAAATACTTGTAAAAATGTATTGAGAAATACTATTTAAAAGCACAAGGAAAGAAAGCCAAATATACCTAGAAATGGGAAGAGGAAATGCTACTAAACTCCCTTTTCCTTCTAATTTCTTGATCTTCAGTGGCATTCAGGAGGGATGAGTAATGTTGGGGCCAGCAGGTGGCGTGGCAGTGAAGGCGGGTCCCCTGTGACTGTATGCGATTGGAGTCTGGGACTGGTGGCTTAAAAATCATGCTAAGCGTGTACTTGCCCAGGATGCCGAGAGGAGAAGGGAGGACAAGGGATTGCCGTGTGGCCATCCCAACAGGGGCTGACTTCTCACTTTTTCTCTCTCCCTCTCTCTTTCTCTGTCTCTGGTGAGTGTTAATGCCCTCGAACAAAAACCAATAGTAATGCAAAATTAGTAATGTTAGAATCCAGGGAACAACTTCAAAGGAATTCTGGGAGATACCGGTGGTGGGCGTGTTCAACAGGCACATTGCGGACCTAGGGCTTCCCAGAGATACGTTCATCGCTAGGCCGCTCACAGCTGTTTTGTGCAGTGCAGTCCAATGTTCTGAGTGTCCTTGGTGACCTGAGCAGCCTTTCACCTCTCAGCCAGGAGGAGGGACAGTGGTGGAAACAATCTAGTCACCCCACCCACCCGATGAAATGGCAGGTCGCCTTCCGCCTGGCCTTCTTGACCTTGATCGTCCTCCTGTCGCTACTCTGGAACAAAACAGGACACGTTAGCTCTTCCCCACTCTGTCGGCCCCGCAGCTGTCATTGCAACGACTGCAGTTTAGTGCAGAGGGACATTTTCCTTCCTCTTCACACCTTGGACACTGCAATATCACTTCATATATACATATGTATATAACTTCCTTGGCCAAATCCCAAAGGGTGACCAGGCAGGGCACTACACAGCATGTTTTTCTTCCTGGCTGGTCAGATTCTTCAAAGCCCTTCCTTACAGGTGAGTAGCTCCTTTGAATCAGTGTCTACACTCTTGTCTCAAGTGTCTCTCACACACGAGAAAGTCCCTAGTTTCCAAACTGTGGAACTCGTTTAAGGAATGTAGGCTCTCCCTAGACCTGTCCCATGGCTAAGCTCCTCTAAGAGGAATCCTTCGTTTCGGCTTTCTGTACTTAAGGTGCGACTAGCGTAGCCCGGTCTAATTAACAGTATACACAGCAAAAATGGTTTCTTTTTGGCCATAGCTAAGATTTTGGTCGGTTTGGTCTTTGGGTATTTTTACTTTCTCTGGTTATACCGTCCAGGTGTAGCAAGAACAAAACATACACAATAACAAAATCAGCCATGAGGGTGGCGACAACTCGGCACCACCACGCCATTCAGATCCCCACACTGAGTGCTATAGGGCGCTGGTGCTTACTAGAAAGACAGAGACAGAAAGAGAACTCACCCCCCGGGGGAACGGTCACGCCACAATCCCTTCTCCTCCACTCTCCTCTCGGGATCTTGGGCACACATGCGCCTGGCATGAGTTTAAAGCTGCGGGGTCCAGGACTCTAACCACAGTCAACTACGTGGGAGTCCAGTGACAGAACCATTATGCCAACTTCTTGTCCCTTGACCACATTTTAACACAGCTTCTAGGTACCTAAAGCCGTACCCCTGGAACAACCCAGCCTTCTTTTGAGTTTCTGTCTAGAAAATGTCAAGGTTGTCAAAAGTATTCACAGTTTTGTGGGGCCGGCAGGTGGAAGGTGGTGAGGGCAGCTGGACTCCCACGTGGCTGACCGCGGTTCAAGTTCAGACTCGGCAGTTTGCTTTCTCACTCTCCTTTCCCTCTGTCTCTCTCTGGTCAACTTCAAATAATAAAATAATGATGATGAATAAAAGTAAATAATTCCTATTAAAAAAAATAGTATTTCTAGTTTGGGCCCAGCTAGGTGGCACAGTCCATAGCATACTGGACTGGGGTGCTGGAAGCCACCTGGCCACCCTGGGTTTAGACCCCCAGCCAGGGCAATCTGAAACGTGCCTGGTGCACACCTGTATGCTCGAGATCCTGATGCCGTGTGACCAGACCCTGTCCAGGGTGCTTTCCCACCTCTCTTTCTCATGCACACACATGCAACCTCTGTAGAAATAAAAAGTAAAAGAATGTATAGCTTATTGGGACCAGCAGTTAGCGTAATGGCTATGTCGCTGGACTCCCACGTAGTCGACCGCGGTTTGTGTCCCGGACCCGGTGGCTTGAAACTCACACCAGGCGCATGTGCGTGCATGCCCAAGATCCCAAGAGGAGAATGGAGAAGGGATTGCGGCGTGACCATCCCCCCTGGGGGGTGATTTCTCGCTTTCTGTCTCTATGTCTCTCTGTCTGGTGAGCGCACGCACCCTATAGCAAAAACCTCTCCCCCCAAAAAAAGAAAAAGAAAGGATGTATAGCTTATTTTAGCCACACTCAGTGAGCCCCTGACTGCCCTTCTTACAACATTTACCGGAAAGTGCTTCCATGGCCCAGCCTCCTCATACCTTGTAAGACCCTATGCTCCACAGTCCAGGAGCACATGGGAGGCCAAGGGTTGATTCCTGCTCCAACCTAAAGGCTGGAGTCAGTGGTGTGCACCTGTAGCCCCAGCGACTTAGGCTGAGACAGGAGGATTGTGAGCTTGAAGCTGGGCCTGGTCAACATAGCAAGACCCTGTCCAAAAAAAAAAAAAAGAGAACCCAAACAAAATAACTGTCTCACGAGGTTCAAGTCCTGGACCCGCAGCTTGAAAAACACACTGGGTGTTCGTGCGTGCATGCCGCAAATCCCGAGAATGGTGAAGGTTTGCAACATGGCTAACTCTTAGGGGGGAGAGGTACTTTCTCTCTCTCTCTCTCTCTCTCTGGCCAAATACATGCACCCTATAGCAAAATAGCAAATTTTATTTTTTAGAGAGAGAGTTTTGCTTTAGGGCATATGCACTCGCCAGAGAAACAGATACAGAGAGACAGAAAGCAAGAAAGACAGAAATCACTCTCCCAGGGGGGATGGCCACACCACAATCCCTTCTCCATTCTCCTTTCAAGATTCTGGGCACACACGCATATGTGTGGTATGAGTTTCAAGTCCGTGACTTGAACTGCCGTCAACCACGTGGGAGTCTAGCACCTTAACCACTATGCAACCTGCTGGCCCCTATTATTATTTTTTAATCCAACAGAGAGAGAGAGAGAGAGAGAGAAAGGGACAGTGAGAGAGCAAGCCGCCAGGTGCAGGACTCAAACCATGGTCAGCCACATAGGAGTTCGGAGTCTAAACAGTACACCAGCTGCCAGCCGCATGGTCTAGAGTTTTTGACTACTGCTCGTTGGGTGCCTGCTCTGAGCCCTCCCTTTGCTGGCCTGGGTACAAGGACAGCAAAGTCAGAAGTGGCTCCACCCACTATGTTTTCTGTCCAGAGACGCCCCTGAGGGAGCATGGGAGCGCACAAGTGCCCACACGTTGCAGCTGTGGTGATGGAGGAGTGGACGGGGTGCTGAGGGTGCAAAGGGGGACCTGATGCCCCAGTTAGCAGAATTCTATCCAGCGAGCCATCATAGAAAACTGGAGGGCATGCTTTCCTTTCCCTCTCTCTTACCATTCGAACGCAACCGACCAGACCTGCCCTGTAACCTAGTTGTTAAGGGATCCAGGTCCCCAAGAGTCAACTGTGGTTCAAGTCCCAGACCCAGTGACTTAAAACTCACGCTGCGTGCGTGCCCAAGATCCTGAAAGGAGAATGGAGGAGAAGGGATTGCAGCATGGCCATCCCCCCTGGGGCGTGGTTTTTCGCTTTCTGACTCTTGGTCTCCCTCTGTCTCTTTGGTGCCCTATAGCAAAACTCTCTCAAAACCAAAAACAGATTCTTGAAAAGTTAAATGAGAAAATATGTGACAAAGTTGTCTGTAAATACACAAATACATAAAGTGTCAAATCAGATGGAAACCACTTGACAGATTTTTTTTTAGAGATTTTTGCTATAGGCCACGTGTGTGCGCTTGCTGGAGAGACAGAGAGACAGAAAGTGAGAAATCACCCGAGGGGGGATGGCCACGCGCATTCCCTTCTCCTCCATTCTCCTCTTGGGATCTCGGGCACGGCCCAGCATCAGTTTAAAGTGGCCAGATCCGGGACTCGAATTGCAGTGAACTCTGTGGAAGTCCAACAGCATAACATTACACCATCTGCTGGTCCTGACAGGTTTTTTTTTTTTTTTTTAAGATTTACTTAATTTTATTTGTTGTTATTATTATTTGAATTTGGCCAGAGAGAGACAGAAAGAAAGGGAAAATAAGAAAGGAAGCCACCAGGTCCAGGACTAGAACCACAGTCTGCGATGTGGGAGTCCAGCACCCCACCCACCATGCCACCTGCCAGCCCCCCCACTGGACAGTTTTGCTAAGAGACCAGCTGGATTGTGTGTGTATGGATGTGGGTGTCGCCAGTCAGCATATTCTGTCTCATAGAGTTCCAGAAGAAACAATTAGGTGTTTTTTGTTTGTTTATTTCTGCCCACCCCCAAGGTTATTTCTCCCCTGAGAGAAAGTGAGACAGAGAGACAGACACCCTAAGAAGGTCTCCACCTTGCAAGCAACCCCTAGTCTCCGCTGGCGCGGATCCCAGGACCACGTGAGCCTGGCTGCGTGGGGCTCCACGTGCCCCCCCCCATGTCTCCCCTCGCTAACAATCCTTTCTGATGCTCCCTGCAGTTGTAAAGGCCCTTGGGGAGACGCTGTAATCTACCCACGTAGATAGCTTTTTACCTATGGCTATCGCATAGTAGGAAAGACTGTTCTAGGGTTTGTAAGTGATGTACAGTTTCTTCTTACTGATCATTAACCTTAGTTGCACATTAAAACGGACTACAAGGGACCAGCAAGTGGCATGGTGGTTAAAGGCGCTGGACTCCCACAAGGCCGACCACAGTTCGAGTCTCGGACCTGGTGGCTTGCTTTCTCACTTCCTTTCATTCTCTCTCTGTCTCTCTCTGATCAAAGTGGAATAATAATAAAGTTACATAAAAAATAATTCTTTAAAAAAAAAAAAAAAAAAAAAAAAAACGGACTTCAGATTTTAGAAGAGAATCTGCCCCTGGGTCCTATCCCAAACCTGACTGAGCTGGTCTGGAAAGAGCCCGGGACTGGGCTGTTTCCAGGCACCATGTGACCCTCAGGGCGCTGGCAAACTGCGGATGTGGCCAAGGTGAGATTGTCCACCAGGGGGCGGCAAAGTCCCTGTCGGTGCGCAAGGTCCGCGTGGAGCAGGCCTGTGACCGCCCGGGCACCCCTCCAGTTTACGTAACACCGCGCAGGGCGACCGTGGGGAGCCGGCCAGGGTCGTCCTTGCTGCTATTGCGTGCCAGCCGAAGACGATTTTACTTCCACTGGGGAAAATTCCAGGAATTCACAACTTGAGAACTAACGCATGGCTAAAAATACAGCGTCTTCACCCAGTGACCTGAATGATCATGTAGCTATTTTCAATTCTTTTCCTAGTTCGCGAGACCATAGGAACGGACATCAAGCTTGAAAGGGAGTGAAATATTGTTCGTATCTCACGGAGCGGAGATGTTTGAAATGTGATCGCTTCGAGAATGGTGGGGATGGAAATGGACGTGTGCAGAGGTCAGTGAGCCCAAGTCGCGTGTCCCGCAGGGTTCTAGGAAGCGCCAGACGTGACAGCGTGGATCTGGGACGCCTTGGGTCTGCAGGGCTCCCAGGGGGTTCCTGCTTAGATGACCCCATCTCTTGCCTGGTTCTGTGGCTGAGGCCCTAAACGCTGTGAACTTGGTCTCTGCCCCCTCGTAGGAGGGGACTGTCATTGAGAGGCAGGTGAACGTCACCAGGGAGGGCTTTCCTCCTTGAGCACAGTGGCAAAGCCTTAGTAGGAGAAGTTTCTTTTCTTCTTTATTCCCCTCCACCTTGTCACCATCTTCCCAAAGACCTGAACCCTGGGTTGGGGGGGTGCAGCCCCACTGTCCAGGAGAGGACAAGTGTGAGGCCAGAAGCCCAAGTAGCCAGGGCTGGCAGGGAAGTCAGGCGGGCCGGAGCCCTCCACTGGGACTCAGAGCAGCTACCGCAGTGGGGTGGCCCACCCCTGAACTTGTGAGGGAAGAGCCGGGGCTGCCCAGGCCTCCTGCCATCCACAGACACACTTACTCCTAACTGGTCTGTCACTGAGACGTTACTGCATTGTCGCCCAGGACGGTAAGTGTATTTATAAAGCTGACTTGAAACACTTTTCTTTCTAAGGAAGCCCTGTGGGCTTTAGGCAACTCTAAGGCTTTAGGAGCTCAAGTTCCTTATTGCCGTTTATTTTTTCTGAAAAGCTTGTAGTAAGTGCCTGGTTGTAAATACCAGGCAAGCGGCCAGGCGTTCCTGCCCTAACATTTTCTGAGCCACAGTGTGTGGTTTGGCATATCACCTGATCACAGGGTATTTCCAACAGGACGGTATAGAAAACCCAGGTGTCCCTCGCCCCACCCGACACGGCTGTGGTTTCTTCAGGGCGGGCACCAGGGCAAGGCCCGCTGATCGCTGCCGTGGCTGGGCTTGCAGACGGCAGGACAGAGACAGTGAATGGAAGAACGACAGACGACAGGTGTTGACATCAAGACAGGCCTGACTTGATCTGAAGGTGGACGAACAGGAAAGGAACTAACTGGACAAAGAGCCGGGAAGGAGCGCGGTTTCCATCTTTTGCTGAAGCAGAGTGGTCGTCGTAACTCTGTGGTTTGGCCGTCCAGGGAGCTGTTCTTCCATGGCCGTCGCAGGAGGACTTCGTGGAAGAGGACTTCACTGGCTTTTATGGGCTGTTTAAAGAACTGTGAGGCCTGAGGTGGCAAGTGGGGAAAGGTGGGCCTGACGTCGCCTGGAAAGGACTAAGGCAAAGGCCCTCCCCGGAGCACAGCCCGGGAAGATAGCCCCTGGAGTTGTGCCACATGCCAGCCTGTGAGCAGCAGCCTGGGGACAGTGACAAAGTGACGGTGTACATGGAGAAGGCAAATGTAATCCGCCCAGAAGGAAGGAAATCGCTTTCACTGTGGCGCCTCCTTGGGGTCTAGGCCCACACTTTCCCTCTCACGCTTTCATCATGTGCTGGGAATGGAGGGCATTTATCTCTAAACTAACCTCTCCTCTGAGTTGCAGACTCCTTTCTGGGGCCCCTGATGTTCTCCACCTGGATTTTTGCATAGTTATTTCCAACTCATTGTGTCCAAAATGGAAATCATTAAGGTGTCTTTTCTTCCTGTGAGTTCCTTTTCTCTGTCTGTTTTCGTTTTTGTCCAGCCTTATTGATGTATTGCTGACCTGGTCTATGTATTGGGCTGTCAGGAAAGTCATGACACATTTTTGCATAGAAAAACACGTTATGACTGTCTCAATGACCTTAGATGGATAGATAGATAGATCTATATATATTTTTCTTTTTTCATTTTTTTTTTCCGAGAGGTTTTTGCTATAGGGCGCATGCGCTTGCCAGAAAGACAGAGACAGAATCAGAAAGCGAAAAGTCACCCCCCCAAGGGGGATGGCCACGCCACAATCCCTTCTCCTCCTTTCTCCTCTCAGGCTCTTGGGCATGCACGCACATGCTCCCGGCGTGTTTTTAGCCACTAAGTCTGAGACTTGAACTGTGGTTGACTACCTGGGAGTGCAGCAACATAGCCATTACGCTAACTGCTGGCCCCCCTCATCCCGCTTCCTTTTCTTTTCTGAGAGTTTTTTTTTGCTATAGGGTGCATGCGCTCGCCAAACAGACAGAGAGAGAGACAGAAAGACAGAAAGCGAGAAATCACCCCCCCAGGGGGGATGGCCACGCTGCAATCCCTTCTCCTCCTCCATTCTCCTCTCGAGATCTTGGGCACACATGCACACGCAACTGGCGTGAGTTTTAAGCCACCGGGTCCGGGACGCGAACCGCGGTCGACTACATGGGAGTCCAGAGACATAGCCATTACGCTAACTGCTGGTCCCCCCACCCCCACTTTCTTTTTTTAAAAGGTTATTGATCATTGATTCTATTTTTAAAAGATAGATGCTTAGTAATATCTATTTTTCCTTTGGTGAATTTTGGTTGATTTTATCTTTCTAGGAATTGGTTCATTTCATCTAAGTTATCAAATTTGTGCACATAAAATTGTTCCTAATAATCCTCTGCTACCCCTGTAATGTTGGTGGGATCAATAGCGATGAACTTTTTTCATTTTCAATATTAGTAATTTGTGTCTTTTTCTTGGTTAACCAAGACTAGAGTTCTATCTTTTTTTTTTTTCCTGTAGGGCTCATGTGCTTGCTGGAGATAGACAGGAAAAGAGAGTGGGGTGGGGGGTGGGGTGAGAAGGCACCTGCCGGCAGGTGGCCATGTCACACTCCCTTCTCCACCCTCCTCTCAAGATTTGGGCATGCAGGCATATGTAATGTGGCATGTTTTCAAAGCGGTCAGATCTGGAATTCGAGCTGCACAGCTGCTTTACCTCCCCACCATCAACCGTCTTAGTTTTATCAATTTTATCTTTTCAAATATCCAGCTTTTGGGGGCTGGCAGATGGGGTGGTGGTTAAGGGCACTAGACTCCCACATGGCCGACCACAGTTCGAATCCTAGACCTCGTGTCTTGGTTTCTCACTTTCTCCCTCTCTCTGTCCCTCTCTGGTCAAATTAATATAAACAAATAAATAAAGTTAAGGAAAATAATTCTTTTTTTTTTTAAGAGAGATTTTTGCTATAGGGTGCATGTTGTTAGTGGAGAGACAGAGACAGAAAGCAAGACATCACCCCACAATGGCCACACCACAATCCCTTCTCCTCTACTCTCTTCCCAGGATCTTGGGCACACATGCCTGGCATGAGTTTTAAGCTGCCAGGTCCTGAACTCAAACTACAGTCGACTATGTGGGAATTCAGGGATGTAACCATTATGCAATCTGCTGGTCCCAAGAAAATAATTTTTTAAAAAGGATTATTTTGTTTAGGGCCAGCAGGTGGTGTGATGGTTGAGGTGCTGAAATTCCCACATGGCCAAATGTGGTTTAAGTACCGGACCTGGCTACTTGGCTTCTCACTCTCCCTCTCTCTCTCTTTCTCTGGCAAAACTCATGTGAAAAAATAACAATAAAAATAAATTTTAAAATGGAATAAGTTAGTCTTTTTAAAAAACTCTATATAATACAATGGTTCTTCAAAAAGATTTGGGAAAAATGAAATTAAAGTACAAGTTTATTTTTTAAAAAAAGAATTGTTTTATTTAACTTTATTTATTTATTTTAATTTGACCAGAAAGAGACACAGTGAAAGAGAGAACAGAAAAGGGAAAGTGAGAAAGCAAGCTGTCAGGTCCAGGAGTCGAACTGTGGTCAGCCATATGGGAGTCCAGCACCTTTAACCACCACGCCACCTGCTGGCCCCAAGAAAGTAATTTTTAAAAAATAAATTATATATCAAATAACCAGCTTTTGGTTTCACTGATTTTTCTCTGTCATTTTCTTGTTTTAAATGTCATTGATTTTTGTTGTAATATTTTTCTTCTACTTTTTTAGGTTTATGTTATTCTTTCTCTAATTTCATTTTTTTTCTTCTTGCTTTTTTGTTTGGTTATTATTATTATTACTATTTTTGTTTTTGTCATAGTGTGTGCATGTGCTCACCCAAGAGAAAAGGAGACAGTGAGGAAGTGATAAATCCCCCCCAGAGGGAATGGCCATGTCACAATCCCTTCCCATCCCATTCTCCTTTCAGGATTTTTAGCATGTACACACAAGTGCCTGCTGTAGTTTTCAGGTCTCCAGGTCTGGGACTTAATTTGTGTTCATCCATGTGGGAGTCCAGCAGCTTAAGCACTACGCCACCTACTGGCCCCTTTCCTTTAATTTTTTAAAGGGGAAGCTAAAGTTTCATTTTAGGTTTTTCTTCTTTTCTCTTTTTATTTTTATGTATATATTTTAAGACAGAGGCTTACCATGTCACAGTCCTCCCACCTCAGCCTCCCTATCGGGAACCATCACATCTGGCTCTTTCTGAAACAGGGTCTCACTATGTCACTGGGCTGAGATCTTTCTGGGTTTCTTTAATTTTATTTATTCATTCATTTATTTTTAATTTGACAGAGACACAGAGAGAAAGAGGGGAAGTGAGAAAGCAAGCCATCAGGTCCAGGACTTGAACCGTGGTCAGCCATGTGGGAGTGTCTAGCCCTGCTGGTCCCTCTGGGTTTCTAATGCATGTATTCGGTGCTAGAACTTTTTTTTTTTTAAGAATTATTTTATTTAACTTTATTTATTTATATTTTAATTTGACCCAGAGAGGGACAGAATGAGAGAGACAGAGAAAGTAAGAAAGCAAACTGCCAGGTCCAGGACTTGAACCACTATGCCACCTCCTGGCCCCAAAATATATACTTCCTTTAAATTTCTTGAGATGTCTCTTTGACCCATGTGTTATTTAAAAATGTGTTACTCATCAGACTGGGAGGTTTCTAGTTATTTTTCTGTTATTGGCTTCTTGTTTAATTCCATTATAGTTTGAGAGCATATTTTGTCAGATTTCTACTTTTTAAAATTTGCTAATGTGTGGGGGCCAGCAGGTGGCATGGTGGTTGGGGTGTTGGACTCCCATAAGGCCGGCTGTGGTTCTAGTCCCAGACCTGGAGTCTTGCTTTCTCACTTTTTCTCTCTTTCTGGGGAATGCAGGTACCCTATAACAAAATTACATAATAAAAATAAAATAAAATAAAAACGAAGTAATTCTTTAAAAAAAAACTCTTTATTTAAAAAACATTTGCTAATGGCCCAGCATGTGGCCTATCTTGATGAATGTTTCATCTGAATTTAAGACTGTATAGCTGGGGACCAGCAGGTGGTGTGGTGGTTAAGGTGCTCAACTCCCACATGGCTGACCGCTGTTCTAGTGGCAGACCTGATGGCTTGCTCTCTCTCTCTCCGTGCGTTTCTCTCTGGTCGGATTAAAAAGAATAAATGAATGAATAAATTTTTAAAAAATAACGTATGTCTGCACTTGTTGAGTGAGTTTTCTGGGTAGATGGCGCTGGCGCAGCACATGGCGCTGTCCTGTTCTGCTCTGTCCTTACTGGTTCTCTGCTGCTGGATCTGTCCGACGCCACCACTGCCCAGTCAACCGCAACGGTGGCTGGCCTAGCTTCCCGGCAGCTCTCAGGCGCCTCTCACATATTCCCACACTCTGTTGTTAGGTGCATACACCCCCGAGGTGGTTATGCCTCCTAGGCGAAGGGACCCCCTAGTCATCTGCCTTTTGATGGCTCTGCAGCTGGCAGCTGGGGGCTGGCCCACAGCGAACCCCCCTCTCCAGCTCTCCGCGTGGTTGTGAAGATGGGCAGCCCCTGGTTCGGGAGGTCGTTTTCGGGGACCTGCTGTTATCTACGGAGCAGCAGCCCGGGACGTGAGGAGCCCAGGATCGTGGGCTTTTATCCGCGTCCACGTCAATCCGCCATCGCTTCCCCTGGTCTCAGTTAAGTCTAATCGAACTGGACGAGTCCGTTCCGGGGGCGCTGCTCGTGTGGGACTTGGGGAGACGCCGACGACCTTCCAGCGGAGGTCGGGGGGTGGACGACGTCCCCACCCGGGTCCGCCGCTGACGTTGGGGATTTCGATTCGTTCCCAGACGTTACAAACTTCACCAAACGGCCGTCTAGAGAGTAGCAATTTGAACCACGGGAACAGTGACGGAGGAGACTGGTTCTCACTTTGGGTATCTAATATTTATTTTGATCTATTTATTATTTGGGGGAGAGTGAGGGCTTTTTTGGTTTTGTTTTGTTTTTCTTTTTATTCTGGACCCAAAAGTGGGATGAATTCCTAACAATGAGTCCGCCAGTCCAGATTTGTGGGTTGCAGGTTGGTGAGGTGGAGGAGCCTCTGAGGCTTCATGGTGGGGATGTGGGCTGGCTTCGGAGCCCGGGTTCGAATTCCGGCCAGGCAGTCCTAACTTTTCCTCTCTGAAGTACGGGTTGCTCAATGATGTCATGCACAGGCCAAGCGCCCGGCGGTGGATTATGGATTATTATCCATTTAATCAGCTGCTCCGCTGTTCCTGTTGTCATTTCCTTGTTGGAGCAAATCAACGTATATCTTTGGTCTCAGGTATGTTTAACTTGGAAATAACTTACCTCCTCAGTTTTTTGTTTTATAACATGCCATTGTAAACAACTCAAAACACATAAGTAGAAAGAAGAAAAAGTAATCTGAAAACAGCCCCTCATTAACCAGCAGTATTGAGGGACCCTGTGGATGAGG